AAGAAAATCACTGTTACAATAATTAATTACTTAACCAAAAACTAAAATACTTTTTAGGTACCTACGTAACCAGAAAGGAGCTGGACCATTTATCCTAATATTGATTTTCTCTCTCCCTACGGTAAAACTTAAAACAATAACAAATTGCCTATCTACTAGGGTTGGTAACTAAACGTATATACATAATGGGCGGATTTTGTTTATACTTAACATTACACTCGCGCATTTAAATATAACTATGCATATAAATATTTACAAACAAAGATACTTTTCCAAACAGGCAATCATTAGTACTGTAGTCACGAGATTTTGCTTGTGATTTGACATCTTATTTAATAATATCATTTGCTACAACTAAATTTAATCTGGGGAGTGCAAAATAGGGGCCAGGAATATTATGTTCGATATTTTTTTACATTTTGTCAGCCGAGACTATGAGTCGTTAGACAGAAAACCTTTCATGTTACCATTTTCAATATATATTAAAAAATTAAAAAATACTACTACATTTACTTGGTACACATTTTATTTTAATTTTGAACCTTTTTAAAAGGGTCTTTCGGTTCCATAATAAAAATTAGTTGCTGCTTACTAGAAACATTCTATATAGCCTAAACCAATTTATAGTTTGTTTTCGATCAATTTAATACAAAGATTTAAAGTTTTTAGTCGATGATAACATTCCACACCAGCACATTGCAAACCTATTTTATAAATAATAGGAATAAACTTGTAAATCATTAATTTGGTAGTTGTGTGTGTGTGTGTTTTGTATGATGGCCTTGATCTCAGATCAATTGGCCAGAGCTAATGTTATTAAAACGAATCTAAACCTACTTACAATTTTCACAAATTACAACAATACAATAATTAATAATGAAGGAACCTAAAATCTATTAAAAGTACAAAATTTTCATCATATTAACAATTAAACAACAGTTAAAACAGTTGTGATACAATTAATTATACATAATTATATTTTAGGCGACGAATTCTTTTTTTTTTATATATATATATTTTTTTTTTTATTTTTTTTTTCTTGTTTTTTTTTGTTTTCTTGTTTTTTTTTTTTTTTTTTGTTTTTCTTTTTTTTTGTTGTTTTGTTTTTATTATTATTTTTTTTTTTTAATATATCTGTATTTTTTTTTTTTTAAATATCTTGATTCATTTTTTTTAAATGTTCATATATAACATAGTACAGTTTTATATTTTTTGAACATAAAAGCGCATCTAAGTTGGTGGGGAGTGTTGCTCCTGTTAATTGCAGGTTCTTGTAAAATTCTTCATTTAGATTTTGAAAATTAGGACAGCTAAAGATTAAATGTTGTAAATTACCCAATTGCCTACAACTACAGAATGGGGAATCTGCCAAACCTATCTTAAATTTGTGTTCAGGATATAACCCATGTTTACATCTTATTCTATTTATAGTTTTAATCATATGGCGATTTGAAATATCAATAAACCATGGCTTTCTACTAATTTTGGGATTTATCTCTCGAAACCGTACTCCTACTATTGAGTTGGAATATAATTCTTGCCAGCTTTCTAATTGTTTTTTCATAAAAAAAGATTTTAAATCCGAGGATGGCATTAGTGGTTCATCTAATAGTATTCCAGAGTTTGTAGCTAATTTTGCAAACTGGTCTGCTTTTTCATTACCTATGATACCTTGATGGCCTTTGATCCAAACCAAAGAAAAGGTCTTCCTCATAGTTAGGAGAATTCTAGCTGTTTCTAAAATCTTCATTATTACTACTGGTAATGTACTTGAAATTTGTATATTTTTTAAAGAATCAATAGCACTTTTGCTGTCTGTTAAAATTACGAAATTTGATTTATCATGATTAATGGCGTATTTTAATGCTTCTAATACTGCTATAAGTTCTGCCGTGTAAATGGACATTTGAGATGGTAATTTAAACATACGTGATACATTGTCGTTGGAATGGTATAAAGCGCATCCAGTCTTGTCTTCAATTTTTGATCCATCTGTATAAATATATTCTGCGTTTGGTAGTTATCTCACTCATATGATTTTTTTGTTTATATGACTATTTCGATTTCTAAATATATTTTGGCCTTACAATACGAAGCGTTTTGTATCTACCACTTTTTTAATGAACGATGAATGTTGGCAGGCGTGTACCTTTTTCGGAACAAGAGGCGTTTTAACGAAGGAAATGATTTTCGAACTATCTAGTTAGTTTTCGGAAAAATAGAAAACGTTTGAAGAAAGTTGTCAATAACAGTTTGTCGTTCATGTGTTTCATTTTGATCAGCTTTCATACTAAATTGCGTAGAATATTTTTCCGATTCAAAATCGAGATTCTCGATATTTCCACAGTTTATTTATAATACCTTCTAAACTGGATTTATCTATCATTTTATATACTTTATAATATATGTTCATGCCCTACTTTTCACTTTATTAACAATTTTTTTTAACATACTTCAAAATGGTAGGATATTCTCAATTCGTTGAAATATTTTTTTATGTATGTTGAGCGATAATTCTTTACCACGTTGCCCGATTTCTAGGATTATTTTTGTTAGAATAGGAAACAGTTTTATATACATTAAGTCAAGATCTGAAGATGGGATCCATAAGAAAATCATTAACATCTTTATTTTTAAAGTAGGTTTTTTTTTAAATTTCTTTAAACCTTACTGGTTCGAACGCGGTAAGGAATGAAGAAATGTAAATAATTGTTGTGCCAGCCAAAAAGCGAAGAGGAAGTACCGATTAAAATATCGAGTGACAGAAGAGTTCCTAAGATTGTTGAGATCGGGTTTATGTTTTAAAATGCCTTAAAACCGATATCGATAATGTCTCCCCGTCGCTGGGCAGCCTGTATATAAATATACAGCTCTCTATTTACATAATTATAATTCTTAGGTAGGTTTAGATTTGCAGACATAAATCTTGTAATAAATATAACAGCTGCCTAATACATTGATTACATTTTCATTAGCCAATGTAAAAATGTCTTTTATTGAACCTAGGATTTGACTAAACACTACACAAAACTAAAAATAAAATGCCACTTTCATCGTGTAATTAATGCCGCGTTTGAGAATCCACATCGGATGCATTTTTTACATCTCGAGCGTTTTTTATCCACATCGGACACATCTGTCCCATTACATTTACGTATACTGAATCACGTGATCAAAGATTTAGTACTTACTACATCTCAGATGCATCCGATGTGGATTCTCAAACGCGGCATAAATAATAAACTACAAACGGTCCTGTAAGGGCAGCGTCATATAGCCTTGAAACACCGGATTTTAGTGCTATTGCCAGGTCAATATTGAATTTGTAGGTGAATCGCTTATTGAACATTAAAAATACGGTATTAATGACATTAATACGGTATTTGTATATATTTTTGGGAATGTAATTACACATAAATATTATTAGTTGATTATTTAAATGTGTATAAGTTATTTTGTGGCGATATTTCGTAGATATAAACTGTTTAAATCATATAATTTAAAAATTAATTAATTTAAAATTCTTTTCTGTTAGGTATGTTTAATATATTTGGCAACACTACAGGGACAAGTCATGCATATTGCGCAAGCTTCTAGACAGACTATTTTGCGATGTCAGGCGCAGAGACGCGTTTTTATGCACAGTAGGTTTCAATTTCTACTTAAATGTTATGTTTATATTGGTCTTCTATATTATTTCTATGTGTCAAACGCTTTGCTAAAATCTAGTAGAACTAGGACACCTGCTTTTTTCTTATCAATACTATTGAAAATATTGTCACTTAAATATGCCAAAGCTGTTGAAGTACTGAAACCCTTTGAAAACCCGACTGATGCAAAGGGATTATATTATTTTCACAAAGATATTCGTATATTTGGAAATAGGCTGCACGTTCAAGAATTTTTGAAATTAGAGGCAGTAGACTTATTGGACGCAGTTCATTGTATGTATAAACTAGGATTGTGCTTTTTAGGTAAGGGTATTATCAAAGCTTGTCTCCAACATTCTGGGAAATATCCTTGTTCTAAACATAAGTTTATAATATGTAGCAGATAAACATCAATAATATTTAGACACAATTTTAACATTGACATATTTATATTGTCATTACCACCAGCATTTGATTTTATATTCAAAATGATAGTGTAGAGTTGAGATAATGTTATTGTTTTGAAGTGAAATTTAATATCTCTACTAAAGGAGTTACTTCTATAAAATAAAATTGAATCCAAGCATCTTTCATTACTGTCTTGGAACACAGAAGAAAAATATTAATTAATTTTAAAAGGATTGGAAAGTGAGGAAGGTAAATCGATATTTTTTGTCGATTGAATTTTCATTTGTTTTAGCGCTTTGTAAAATTTAGAAGACGACTGGTTGTTTAAAAATTCTAGATACGCAGATTTTTCTCGTCTCAAGGATGCTAAAGCAAAGTTGCGAAGTCTTTTGTAATTGTTCCAGTTTTCAGTGGATTTATTTAATTTAAATTTTTTTAGGGCAGTATCTCGTTCTTTAAATATGAGTTTTAATGTAGGAGTTAACCAAGGTGCTTTAGGTTTACTTATTCTAGCTGTTCGAAAAAGGGTGTGTTTATCGAAAATTGTAGATATTGCATCTGTTAAATAGCGTACCTTACTTTTAATATCATTAAGATATAGAAGGTTATCCCAATGAATACTGCGTAGGCATTGCTCAAAAACTGAAGAGTCAAAGTTCTGATAATCTCTATAAGTTAAAAATCTTTGTTTCTGATAACTATAATCAATTAATGTCCCCATAACTTTTACTGTCTCCACAGTCCTGGTTTTTTCAGGCGAAAATCCACGCACGCACGCACGCACACACACACAGACATCATCGCGAAAATAGTCAAAACGGATTCAGGGGACTCCAAAACGTAAAAAACTGTCGAAAACTCGAGGTCGAAAAAAATCATGATTGCTATACTTTCCTTATCTGTATACAGATAGAAAAGTAAAAATTCGTTTAAATAAGATATCGCGAAACAAATTGTTGTCAGATCATACAAAATGTTCAGTGCTAAAGTTGTTGTCTTTCTCGTAGCTGTAGCTTTATGCTATGGTAAGTAAAGGTTTCTTGTTGCTGAAATATTTTAAAAACGTGTCATTTTTTCATTTTTTTTTTTTTTTTAAATATCATTATCCAAGTATTATTCTCAAAAACAACAACAATATATAAATTACAATAAATATGGTCATCAACAATAATTAAGGGGTGTACTTTCGATTATTTAATTTTTTGTATTAATCGATATTAGATTTGTAATAGGAAAATGGCACCGTGCACCCCTAACTAATTTTAATGCCAGAATCGAGTTCAGCAGCCCCGAAAATCCCCCGAGTAACGACTTCAGAGCGATTTTTCCGAGTTTCCAGTCGTTCCTATAATGGTGCAAGTAATGATGCAATTGGAAAATGGATTTTCCGGCCCAGAAGACATTTTTCAAAAAATGGCTAAATCAGACGATACAGACTTTTTTTCTGGGACCTTCCTGAACACAATGCAGAAAATCGCATCTCGATATCTGCTGTCCCTAAAAATGTCCGCTATTTTTCTAACTTCTCTGGACTAACAAAACAAAATGTAATTTAAAATAATGATAAGAATTAATAAAGTATGGCCTTCTAATAATCTCTAAATTTAAAGATAAAAATACTCGTACTTAAATAATTAAACAATTGTTAGATTAATTATTACATAAGATAAATCAAACGTAAAATTAAAAATAAATGTACTTATACGAATCACATATAAATCAGTAATCAAGAATAAAATAAAAAATATTGATTTACGCTGATGACTGGAATCCTCTGAGACATTGAATTCTATCACAACCTTTCCGATTACATTGTCCACCATCCCGTCCAATCTCCACATTTTGTCTTCTTCCTTGATGACATAAGTTAGGGCATTTGTCCAATCTTCTTTCCGTATTCGTGCCATTTCGATTTCCAGTAAATGTTGAACATCGCTAATTTTGAATGTCACGTTTACACGAGTTACGCAACCCTTTACGTTCTATCGGATTCAATTCGCAATGGTATGGTGGAAGTCTTAATACGGTTATACCTCGGGCAAGAGATAATGCATTTACAACATGCTGACGATATAAGTCTTAATGCGGTTTAATAGTTATGGTTATAAGCTCCCTTTTAACCATGTCCTTAGAAAAGGGAATTACCTTTTGTCGCAACCAACCTTCCATCACTGCTTTTTTGGTAGCCATAGCACAGAAGAAAGAATTATCCTGTGCCCCCACTATATTTTTTTGACAAAATGTCATTTATATCAGTTCTACTACAGTTGAAAAAATTGTACATTGCTGTAATCCTCCGAGCAATTACTAATAGAGGAGCGTGAAAACGAGTTTGTAGGCGATTGTTGTGTTAGCAACATCTGCAGAGGAAGTGAGGAAGCGGGCACAAGGGGGAAGGTAAACATCCTTCTTGTTCAGTGGCGTATCATTTATCTATAAAAACACACATTATCCAAACGTTTTAATTGTAAAAAAAAACTAAAAAATTTGCTAATTTTAATATTTTTAAAATGAATACCCTCTTATATGTGTCTAATGCAGAAAATGAAACAAAATCACTGTAAAGATCTAATTTTTTCAATTGAAGAATAAAACCTTAAAATCAATTTTATTATAAATAAATACAGGAGCGACTAGTTTCGGCCTTACAGGAACATCTTCAGGCCTGTAATACAATAATCTTTAATTATTATAATAGGTTGGTCAATTACGAATAACATTAAATAGTATAAACCACAAAAATGGATCCATATTGTAGCGTTACAGCATTATAGAATTAAAGCCCTGAAAATAAAACAGCGGTGCAAACGTAACTTAAAATAAGAAAACTGAGTACGGAATCTACAAGAAAAGAGGTGAGAATGAGCAATTACGAATGCATTTAAATTGCTCGGGATAACAAATAAAGCTGATAATGTAGTGGTATAGTCCCCGTCAAAGGTCTGCATATGTTAAAGAGGATGGCGTTTTCTCTGTTAATCTGAAGAATGTAAGGATGGAGGGAAGACGAATCTTGCTGGCTCAGGTGTAGATGTCTAGAAAAAGGAGCGTGTAGATGAAAGCTCTAGTAAATATCGTCACTTTCGTCTAATTTTTTATTCTTACTCACCGTTTCGGCTTTATCTTCGAAATTCATTTTTAAAAGGAAATAAAAGTAATCATCTAATCATTCATGCAAGCATATAATAAAACAACATGAATTCATTATATTTAATAAGCTAATAAACGTTTGTTTCAATGAAAAAAACATATATGTGAATATAAAAAATATATAAATAAATAAGATTGATATCAAAATCAATTTGAAAATACAACAGATAATAAAATGAAATAAATTAATACAAGTACAAATAGAAAGTTAATAACATACCTTCTAAAAGTAACACATTTTAAGTAGATAAATGTTTAAAGAGTTTATTCCTGAACATAAATAATCTAACGTTTTTCCCCTTTTTAATATTATGAGGGTTTTTGTAGTTGAAATGAAAATTATAATTTATTTTGGTCCTAATAAAAATTTAAACATAGGTTATCAAAGAGTAAAATACATAATAGAACCTCATAATCTTAAATCGTTATCAAAAATTATTAATGGTAAAACTTCAAACAATAATTAGATTCTTAAACAAATTTTTAGTTTTTGTTTTGCAAAAGACTTTTTTGCCTTCCTCGGTTACCTCTGCCACTTTTCTTTTAGTAGTTTCGAGGAGAATTTTCCTATGGAAACCAGTAGAACCATCAATTGATTGGTAAAATTTTGATATTTTTGGTCTAGTGAGTCTTGAACTTTCTTCTTAGGAAGCTGTAACCTTATAGAGAATAAAAATTTAATGTTAGATCAAAAGCTCCTAATTGAGAATTATATTTGCAAAGGCCGTTTTAATAATATTTTTAAAAGTTCTTGGAATCGTTGTTAACAGAAACCTGCAAAAAATATATCATTTTATTCCTAAAATATAAGATATCACACAATGCACATTCATATATCATTGTGCTAGAAAAATACTAGGTAGGTACTGAGACAATTTAAAAAAATTATTTCGAGAGACTCAACTTTTAATGTCATCATTGTACTTAACTTTTTTATTGCTAAATTATTAATAATGTCATTTTGTGCCAAGTTTTTTTAATAATTAGGTTCTTGTTATAGTAAAAACACATTTAAACACATTATCAGAGAAAACAGTAAGACATCTTAATATATTCTATTTCACCAACAAAAATGAAGAATAATTAATCTCACATCAAACGAAAAAAGTCATTTTAGGATGTCCTAATATGTTTTAAAAACTAAATAAAATGTATATTGCAACTGTGTTTAAATAAATGAATGTTTTTATACCTGACTATAGCACCAGATAAACATTTTTTTAGATCATAATGATCTGCATAACTCAAAATAGTCAAAATCCACATTATTTAAGTTGTTCTAGTATTGTTTTAGCATAACGATGTAAACTCCAATAATAAATATTCACATTTTTTTGGGACGTTTTTTGAGGAAATTAAAAAAAACATGAATAATGTGATATTCTTGTTTAGTTTTGTACTATACAGTGCGTCCATAAAGTAACGCATAAATTCATTATTGGCTAAATGAACAATAAAATTAGGAATTCCCAAAACAGGTCGATTTTTGATTTCAATTTACTATTGTTTCAAATCATAATCTAATATACAGGGTGAACCACTTTCGTGTAATGACGTCATCACCATTTTTTTCAAATGGAACCCCCCCTTTTTTTTCAATTTCCAAATTGCCTTTGCTGAGCTGATTCCAAAAATGTATAATATGTTGCTTCAAATTGGTACAGGGTGGGCAAAAATGCAAAAAAAAATATGAAAATTGTTTATGGAAAGTAATACGTTACTGAATGTAATAAACAAATTAAATGGAATTATGTAGTTATGCAATTAATGTGATACACTTCCAAAAACAAACAAACGAACGAAAATTTACAATAAATGTTCAAATTGTTTTCCATTGACCGTTAGACAATGACTGAACCGGGCATTACTTTCGTCTCTAACATTCTGTAGCATAGCGGGTGTTATGCTCTGTATTTCTTGTCTGATTCGGTCTTGTAGTTGAGGGATATTTCCAGGTCTGTTGAAGTAGACTTTAGATTTTAAATAACCCCATAAAAAGAAGTCTAATGGGTTCAGATCAGGTGATCTAGCAGGCCATTCCACTGGTCCCCTTCTTCATATCCACCTTTGTGGAAAAGTTGTGTTTAAAAAATTGCGCACAGCTACTGCGTAATGTGGCGGTGCGCCATCCTGTTGAAACCAGATTCTGCGGTCTACATTAGTGGGTATTTGAATATCAGGAAAAAGCTGGATCAGATCAGGAATTAATGTATTTTGTAGGAAATCCAGATATAATGCTCCTGTTAAGTTTTCATCGAAAAAATATGGACCAATAATTGTATTTCTCACAATACCAGCCCATACGTTAGTTTTTTGTGGTCTTTGCGTATGGTACTCTTGCATCCAGTGTGGATTTTCATCAGACCAATAACGGGTGTTTTGCCGGTTAACATGACCGTTCAAATAAAACGTTGCCTCGTCCGAAAATAAAACGTTATCAATGAAATTGTTATTTTGGTTCATCATATACTCGCAGAATTCAGTTCTTCGGTCAAAGTCGTCTTCAGCCAATTCATGGATGAGACGTACTTTATAAGGATGGTATTTTACCTTTTTGAAAATGTTTGATACTGAAGACCTTCCAATACCAAAATCCCTAGATAATCCTCGCACTGTACAGTGTGGATTTTCTACAGCCGACAAAATTATGTCTTGTTGAATATTTTCATCAATTTTTGGTCTACCTTGCCTTGCTGCATCCCTCACATGTCCTAATTCTCTGTATTTTCGCTCTATTCTACTTACCGTAGATTGTGAAATAGGTTCACGATCTGGGTGCATTTCATGGAATAATCGGCATACCTCTTGTTGAGTCCGCATCTTATCGCCAATACCAATCATCATTAATATTTCAATCCTGTCACTTTCGGTTAAA